ACCATAAATTTGTATATTGTCATGCGCTTTTCTACGTTCTTACTTCCATATAAACAGACTTGCTGAGATCGATCCAACTGTTCATGGTTGACTAAAATGAATGCAGAGGTTTATGTAACGGGTAAAAAAATGTGGAAGCGTACCTTTTCGCTCACAGCTCACAGGAACATCATTAAAATACATAAGGCATTCTACGAAATGACTTTCAAATAGATCAGGAAATTGTAATAACAGAACATCGCGCTAGAATATACTTTTCTCCGTAAGAAAAAAATGAGAAGAATTACAAGGAATTATAATAATAGCTTACCAAACAAAATTTTGTGTAATCACTAATCATCTTGTTTTCGTCCAAAATTGTTGACACAAAGCGGTACATGATCTGACAATAACGGTAGTAAACCGAATTATATACAGAATTCCTAATAATATTAGCATGCCTGTCCCTCCCATCTGATGAATTGCTCTTTGATTAAAGATGTCAACGATTCGAGTGTTTGCTGGCGAACAAGCGTAGATCTGTCTTTGAGACAAGCAGCCACAATCGGAGAATACCGATCCACCATGAGAGTGTACCTGATGCGGAAACATTTTGAAACATTTTTCGAAGCCACAAATGATATACCTGATGCACAGATCACAAATGACAAGTGCGATGTTATTTCTTATCACATGATCAGGGTTCAGCTTCAACTGCTTAACAAAAACAGGGATCGTAGCCTTTGCAATCTTTTCATCCTAAATAGAAAACTTTTACTTACTTCTTCTAAATATATGAAAAACACAAACCATTAAACAGAATTTTCCAATAGTCAGGACAGCGTATGCACGCACTGGCGGAGTAAGAAGAGGACGACGTTTATTCATTGCGTCTTTAACGATGTGTTGAGGAATGACTGGTCCGCTCTGGACAGACGTCCCTTGAGAAGTAGTTGACGTTGGTTGTGAGGATCCTTCACTACTCTTAAAAAAAGACTAAAACCTGCAACAATGTTTGCGCAAACTATATCAATTCATAGGTCTATGTACGAATGCAGACTAAGGTGCTGAGAGTTTATACGAGATTTTACCAAAACAGAATGAGCAGGTGAAGGAGCACGAGACGTGGATGGTGATGGGTTGACTGATGGCATTGCAAAGTTGACAACTTAAACTGAGATTAATTGCAACAAAGAACCTAAAATTCGCTGTCTGGGAGACCATACCAGGTAAGTCCTCTTCGTGGAATATGTCCGACGCGAGAACTGTCTTTAAAGCGTCAAAGTGACGGAGCCCAGCCGGCATCAACTGCGAAGAGAACTGTACAATCTCTCCAATTGTTACAACCATACGAATGAGGGAAGCCTCGCGGGCCGTCGATCTGGAATTTTGCAGATATAAGCTCAAAACTTCAGACATACTTGTTTCCTAACCACCTTTCAGCATCTTCGTACTCGTCCTCAATTAGAAGAGACTCGCGAATTTTGACGCGACAAATATCAAGAACTTGCTTCCCAAACTTTCCAAGGATTTTCTTTCCTCAAATAAACTCTTGAGAAAACTTAATTGCCAAAAGAACTGTGAAATAAAATGACTGAGGAACATACCAGTGCCTTCTTCCCCAATGGCGTCCAACAATTTTGCCAGACAATGATATGAAGAAGATATGTTTGGCGCATGAATTCTTAAAAGCAATACAAGTTAAAGGATAAAGCCTAAGCGGAAAAAATGTACCTGAAATTCGAAATTTTGTTTTTGAAATCAGCAATGAGATCATCCTTTGCGTCATTTTTGATATGAGAGGAACCTCTTGCTAACACTTTTGTTACATATCGAACCTGAGAAAATTTGCAAGAGATCCAATGAGTGGAAAATATTACGCTTACTCTATTATTTTGATCGCCATCTTCGAGACTGTACCATGCTATTATAGCCTTCTGAGGTTTCACCTGAACGAGTGCATGTTATCCCGAAATTCTCTGAATAACATTATTTGGTGATAAATTCATCCTAAAAAATTACTTCAAAAATGACGCTCAAATCTGCAAGAAGCATCCATATGATATCGCCTTGCTCTGGACAAGTATCAAGTTTTGTATTCAGAGCGTTCACAATTCCAGATTTTACATGGCCCTCCCGATATTGTATCATAAGGGCACGAATTAATAATCGACTATAAATAGCATTCATAATACCGATGTAAAGAGAGAATTTACAGATGTGATACCGGTTATTATTTTCCAATTCAATTGAGTGCAACAGTTTCCATAATTTGTTGTCTATATCACCAAAGAGTGGATTCAAGATTGTTCTCTAAAAAATGTGAGCAGTAGAAATTTACAGGAACGCGAAAAAACATTACTCACTGTGACAATCTGCGCAACTAGTTGTTGAACACTTTG